TAAAATATCATCCAATTAAATTTATGATATGAATTAACCAATAAAATAAGAACTAAATATTCATATCATAACAATATAAAAGATTTTATCAAATCTTGTTTCATCTATTAATTTACCGAATCTCAAAATTAAAAGAATCTTTATATCTAATAAAAGTTGAACAATCTTTTGATCATATTGTAATTGACTTAATTGAATCAAATCAAATTACTCAACAAATAATTGATATATTATCACAGTAATTGACTATCTTACAAAATAATTTAAAGCAAAAGCAAAAGCAATATCAATAAAAAAAATTACTAAAGTTATTAAATTTATATTTAAAAAAATTATTTGTTAATATGAATGTTTAAAGATAATTCAATTTGATCAAGAAATAGAATTTACAGCCAATATTATAGCAGAATTAACCAGCAAATTTAATATTCAATATCAATTTTCTACACTATATCATTTACAAACTAATAGAATTGTTAAATAATTCAATAGAATATTAATTTTAGTATTACAAAAATACTATATAAAATTTCAAAAAGATTAAAATATAAATATTATTCACTTATAAAATAGTACAACAAAATATGAATCATTTTTCTTAACTTATAGATGAAAAGCAAGATTACTTATTGAATTATAATATATAATATTTGAAAAAACACTAATAAAAATCGAAGAACAACCATTAAATTGAATCTACAAATTAGTAAAATATTTACCTAATCAAATTTGTAATACTATGACTAGCATATTTCTGTCACAAGAAAAATTCAAAGAACAATATAATAATAAATTACCTAAAGTGAAATACTATAAAATTGGAGATAAAATATTATTATATAATATAAAACAATATGTAAAGTATAATAATAAATTTTAATTACAATGACATATAGAATAATTTTATATTCATGAGATTTTTACTAATAAAATTTATATAAGTTATGAAATTAACTTGAACAAGTATTGAAAAAAAATTTTATAGTAATTAATTAAAAAAATTTTGTAAAAGATAACTATTATTTAAATAGAAGTAGTTATAAATTTAATTGAATCTCTAATTATTCATATTTTCTAATATAATTCTTATTATTATATCTTATACTTTATCTTATTTATCTTACTTTTCTTACTTTTATTTTTATATCTTACTTATCTTATCTTAATATCTTATCTTTTTTTTCTTTTCAATTTTTATATAAATATCTCTTTTATCTCATTTTTCTATTTTCAACTTCTAATATTCACATTTTATCTTATTCTTATTTCTTTTTAAAAATTTTTATATCTCTATCTTTTACTTATTTCTTCTTTATCATGTCTCTACCTACTTGAATATTATCATATATAAAAAAATATTTTGGAACAATAACAGAAAAATTATTACTTTACAATTTCAAAGCAATTTTAGTTTTTATAATTTATAAAATAACTATTAATGATACTAATACTCAAGATCAATATTTTATATCTGCTGATAAATTATTTCAAGACTCTGATATAATTAATGAATTCCTAGTTAATAATCCAGAACTCTTTAAATTACTAGTTAAAAAAGCTAAAGAACCAATAGTCAATCTTATTACTCTCTTATAAAAACTATCTATTGATAAATTAATATTCATACTTAATCTTGTATTTGATGAGATTAAATTAGAAAATTTAATTAATCTGAAAAAATTATTTGGATTACTTATTACAATTGATAAATTAATAATTAATAATAATAGAAAAGTATCTTTCTCTATATTAAATCTTTAAAGAAGGATTGAATATTATAATTATTTTCAAAAATTTCTTAATTAACAAATCTTTCAAAAATAGTAAAAAATATAAAAATCTCTAAAAATAGTAATAAAATAACAAATTGATAAAAATAGTTTATATATATTAGTTATTTAATAATCATATAATTATTATTTATCATTTTTAATTTAGTGATTTCTACCTTTTAAATTTATCTTTTCTATTTTTATTATTTATTTTTTCTATCTTTATTATTTATTTTTTCTACTTTTTTTATTTTTCGTATCTATTTTTCTATCTTTATTATTTATCTTTTCTATCTTTTTTATCTTGATTATTTATTTTTTCTATTTTTTCTATCTTTATTATCTATTTTTTTATCTTTTCTATCTTTTTTTTATCTATTTTTATTATCTTTATTATCTATCTTTTCTATTTTTTCTATTTTTTTTATTTTTATTATATATCTTTTTTATCTTTATTATTTATCTTTTTTATTTTTTTTATTTTTTTCTATAATTTTGTAATATAATAATAATATAAAAATATATTATAAAATTTTGTATAAATAGGAGTGCTATCTTAATATACTTTCTCTTATGCTTCAAACAAATTAATAAATTTAAATCTTTAATACAATAAGTTAATAATTGTCTTATTGTTATAGAATTAATATTTATTTTTATATCTTCTTTTATTGAAAGTTATTTGACAAAAATAGTTTGTTAATTGAACTTCAAATCTTGTAATTCAAGTCACTTTTCATAAATTTTGAGTGAGATCAAGAAATTAAATATTGATTTGTATAGAATTAAATTTTTGACTATTATATTTTTGTTTTTAAATTTGAAAAAGATATTAATTTATATAGTTGTGCACTATAACTTTAAATAAGTAATATTGAATTATATAGTTGTACATTATAACTCTAAATAAATGAATGATATTTCTTTTAGTAATTTATTTTCTATGGTATTGAAAGCACTAAAACATATAACTACAAGTATAAAAATATTAATATCTTTATATTTAATTAATAATTTCTTTTTATTAATTGCTCCTTTGAATACTTTTCCAACCTTCTTTTTATCTTTTAATAGAATTATTTAACAATTTCTGTCAAAATTGGCATAGGTTTAGATATTTATTTTTGCATTAATCAATTTTATAAGTCTATTTCTCTCTTCCAACTCATATAACTCTTTTACTGAAAGTAAAGAAATCTTTTATTTAAAGTAATTATAGCAATATATTAAACTAAATATTTTGATTAAATAAAATAAATATAATAAAACATAAAAAGATAATAAACTTATAAAAATATAATAAATTATATAAAAATTATAAAAATTAAATTATATAATTTTATGCAATTATATAGATCATGCAAATTATGCAAATTATAAAATTATAAAATTAATTAATAAATAATTAATAATTAATAATAAATAATAAATCACATGTAAAATTACATGTACAAGTTATATATCAAAATCACATGTTAAAATTATATATTAAAATTACATATTATATATAAAAGTCATATGTTTTCAAATTTATCCAATAAGAATATAATAGATTAAATAAATAATTAAATTAAATTATTAAAAATATTAAATATAATAAAAATGATTAATTATCAATAAAATAATTATATTATAGAATATTTGAATTATAACAATATAATTAACATATATTAATATAGAGATTAATTATTAAAACAAAAATTTAAAATAAAATTAAAATTAAAAGAGTGTATGATGAAAATTCTCAAATAAGAATCTTTAAGTGAGAAGGCTTAAAGTTTTTTTATCAAAGTAGAAAAAGCTAAAAGCTCAAAAACCTTTAGTTGAGAAATCTAAAACTAAAAAATCTATTTAATTCTATTTAAAATACATGTTATATTTATAAATCAATTTTATTAACAACACTAATTTTGTAGATTAATTTTGTCAACAGCATTAATCTTATAAATCATTTGATTGCAAGTATTATTGTTATTATTTGACATTTATATAAGTATTATTAGCATTACTAGTATTGCTAACATTGCTAATATTAATATAAATAAAGAACCAATAATAAAGTACTAATTAATTATCTAATTAAATAAAACTAACTTTTACCAATAAAATATAACAAAATCTTATCCAATTAAATTATAATATAAATTAACCAATAAAATAAGAACTAAATATTCATCTTATAACAATATTAAAAAAGTTGTTTTTGTAATTTAATATAATAATACTTTTGTTTTATTACTTTATCATGATTTTTGAGTTTATTGAATTTTTTTGTTTTTCAAATTAAATTAATTTTGTATAATATTTATATAAAATTATTTGAATTTAAATCTATATAAAAAGTATAAGTTCAATTTTCAAACTTTACAATTTTTTTAAAATAAATAATTTTTATTTATTATTCTGACTAAATTTAGAAATTTCTTTCTAAACATTTTTTTACAAGATTAAAGTCTGACTATAATATTATTATAATCACAATAAAAATTCAACTTTATTATTTATTAACAAGAGTTTCTTGGATTTTTTTGCTTAAATTACTATATATGTATATGACTTTTATATCTATTTAAATAAAGAATCTATAAGAGCTAACATTAAATATATATTATAGCATTTCATCGTTATTTTTGTTTGTTTTGTTGATATTTTCAATTTCTTCTTCAGTAGCAATCGAAATAGAATAATGAATAGCGGAAGGTTCTGTCAATTGTCCATAATTCTGAGCCACTTCTGCATTGTTATTATTATCTGATTGTTCTCGTACAAAATTCTGCGTTCGATTACTATTATTGTTATTATTATTATTATTATTATTATTATTATTATTATTATTATTATTATTATTATTATTATTATTATTATTATTATTACTATTATTATTGTTGTTGTGATTGTTATCATTATAATTATTATTATCAACATCATTATTATTATTATTATTGTCATTTTTATCATTATCATCATCATTAATAACTATCTCAAGTGTATTATCGGTTTCATTATTACGATGACCATGTGTAAATTTTTTATGAAACTTTTTAAAATACTTGAATGTAGATTTTTTGGATGTAGATTTCTTGGATGCAGATTTTTTGGATGTATCCACATTAGGAAGTGCATTTTCGTCATTAATATCTTTATCAATTACATAATTCGAAGATTTAAGCATATTTTCCGAGTTGTCTTTCGGGAATTCGGTTCGCTCGTCGGTGAAGTCGTTTATCGTTAAGTCATCCGTGTATGAGGAGTCATGCCGATAACTGTCCAATTTTGATCCGCCATTAATAGGGCTTTTTTCGTTGACTTGATACTCTTTCAACAGAAATTCAAGACGAAGTATCTGTGATTTATATCGTTTATTCTGCTCGGACAATTTTTGGCACTGCTCTTTGTATTTTGGTGGATTGAGTTCATTCAAACGATCCTGAAACTCAGCCAAGACTTGTAATAGCGCATCATTCTGATCTCGCAATATTTTCAATCGCTGTTTTTTAGTTTGTTGTTTTTCTAGCGTGTCATCCACATGAGCACTTTCTCTGTGTATGCGTTTAAGCATTTTCTTGCGCCGATACGCGTCCCAAACCGTGATAAAATTCGAACCAATAATCGAGGTGGGAATAGCAATAACCATGATTCCGCAAAGAGCCGTAAGTCCAGAGAGCAGTTTTCCCCATCCGGAGATCGGAATGTCGTCCCCGTAGCCGACAGTCGTAATTGTAACAATTGCCCACCAAAAACTATGTACGATCGATTGGAAGGGACTACGCTCGATTGTACCGTCCATTCTTGTTCTGTACCAGGTGTGATCGTCATTGTGGAATTCTCCGCGTTCCAGGTAATACATTATTGCTGATGACATGAGGATTATGATAAATACCCACATGAGCACCATTGCTATTTGTGATACGGATCTTTTGAATACTTGGAAAGTTATCTATTACACGATATGTATATCAGATTCAATATAGATTCTATAAATCTAAAGCGAGAATGAAATACCACTTACATTAAATACCACAGAATTTCTGACAAAGTGGAACACTTTAAGAATTCGGAATAGCCGAAGAATTCTAAGATAGCGAAGTGCTGACTAAAAACACTCTAATTAGAATACATTCAAAAATAGCTGCACGAATAAAAAAGATACTTACTCCACCAGCAATCGGAAGAACCAATTCAAGGTAAAACGGAAGGATTGATAATAAATCAACGATATTCATGAATTCTATCATGAGAACATTAACATATATATATAAGCTGTCATATTGATAATTAACATTTGCATAATAACTCATCAATACTTACGTCGAAAAAAAACTAGCTTATTAACGGATGCGTAAAATCGCCCGATATACTCGATAGTAAATATAATAGCGACTGTAATATCGATTGGGTCACTATAAGATCAATTAATTAAAATACATTTATATGACCTAGATGTCAATACAAAGATAGTGATAACTCACAGTTTTGCTAGCAAATCATCACTAACATTTGGCAACGACTCAATACAAATCATGGTAATAGTGGTGAGCACACATAACGACGAGACAACCCAAAATAACTTAGCCCATATGCTTTTTGGTCTTTCGAAAAATTCAAAACATCTTTTTTGCAATGGAGTACGAACCAAATCTTTCTCTTGATTTAGTGCTTCTAGCGGATCATAAACATCACTCTAAAAAGAATTTTCATTATTAATATATAGTATATAAATAATTCAGCTCAATCCGATTTAACACTCACGAAATCTCCATCCTCTGTTGATTCTTCCTCGTATCTAGTTTCGTTGTCTGTTTCATCGGCAAATTCATCACATGACTCCGAAAAATTATTAATATTATCGTTATCGTTATCGTTATCGTTATCGTTGTTTTGTCGATGATCTTTTCGTGCTGGTGAATCATTGTCGCCACCCCATTCTTGAAATTTTTCACTATATTAATTGATTGAAGGAGATATTATTTGGGGGTGATTTGTAAGCAGGTGACAGAATTAATAAACAATGCAAAATACATTTAATTAATCATTTACCTTGCAATGAAAGCAGACTCGTTTTCTGTTAAATTACTATTATAACTGTTTTTTGGTGTTGATTTTCCTTTTTGTGTTGGCAAGTTTTGTATCGGTGTTGACGAATCAGCGAAAAAGTTTTGTGAAGTAGCTGAATAGTTGTTTTTGTTGTTATTGTTATAGTGAAAGTCGTTATTAATATCATTATTTCCTTCGTTACTAGACATTTTGATATTAGAGTTCGTGTGTATTCCTGCTATTAATTTTTTATTTATTTTTCTGTAATAAATAACGCATCTAGAAAATTGCTCAATATTTTATACAGCATATATATATATGCATAGAAAGCATCTTCGGTTATCGCTTTTATTTTCGTTTTATATTATTTTATAAAATAATTACAGTATAACTTCAAAGTGTGGATCTATTGTGTTTCAAAATACGTACGTAGAAGTGTATATGCACGTCTTCATTCATTATGTGCGCATCGATATTAAATATAGTATTCATCATCTACACAAGTGTGTACGCCACAAAAAAATCGTGTATTTGTGTATTCAATAACCTTAACAAAAGCAAAATTTTGGTCATTGCTTCAGGTTCAAATTTTCGATTATCTGCTCTTGATATTCTTTCCTTTCAATAGCGATAGCCATTTTCTGCCAAATTTGGGATTGTGCATTTTTTATATTGTTTTTGTGCTCGGGTTAAAATGTAATGGAAAAATGAAACGGAAATTTTAATTGGTCGGGTGAAGAATTAATAGCGATAGTTGATGTGCGCGCGTTTATATCGTTTTAGTTTATTGTATTGTATTATAAATAATAAATGCACATAAAGAACAAGAATGCGTCGTGTAATATCCATCAAACACTAGTTTACATTGTTGCACATTTAACAATAAAATGAGAGTATAACGACTATATTACGTTTGTTTTAATCATGATAGCGACAAATGATTAGATAACGACTGTATTACGTCTTCTTGATTAATTAGAACTCTGAATTGGCTTAATCTTGTTTTTAACTAAAATAGTAACACAGCGTATGGATGGATGGATAAAGAAAACCCTTTGATAATTGCGTTGTTATTATTGTTGTTGTCGTCGTCTTCGTTGTTGTTCGAAATAAGTTATTGTTATTGACAAATAACTTTTGCTCTATCGAAATAGTTGCCATTTTCGGGATAAGCTAAAAATTTTATTAGGTTTGTGACATCCACATGATAATTGGATAATCTTATAAATAGTGTCCGTTGTGTGTGAATAAATTCAACTTTTTTTCTAATGAAAATAAGGACACTCGGAGCATAATATTAATTCCCACAAGGTAAATTAAGATTATGTATTTGTTTGCAGCTAACTGATTTCCAATCACCACTAACAAACATTCACACGTAATTTTTCGGCCGCTTCTTTTATTATATCTCTTTGTAATTAATATAGATGGAAATTGTTTTGAAAGAAAACTTTTTTTTGATATTATCGTTATCATATTATTAATATTACACTGGACACCCGAACTGGGTAGCATAATACATGTACATGTAGCAAGTAAAAAACTCTAAATAACCATACTTCACTCCTGTTTTGGCGGCAACACACGGGATGAGGGGACGAACAGCGAGTGCATCTATGTACACCCCAATCCGTTTTGGTTAGATCAAATAACAGCCAATAAGAATGCAAATACCTAAATCTGGTCTGGAGTGCTAATAAAAAATGTCGTGAAGACAATTTTACATATAACCTTGTTCTCTGCCTCTAACCCTAACCTTAACCTTTAAACCAACTTTAACATTAATCTTTATTACTGTAGAATTTTATATATATTTGAGGTTACACTGGGGTGTACATAGATGCTTCCGCGAACAGCAACCAATATCTGTGTTTTTGAACACAACAGTGAATGATCTGATTTAGATGCGTATCGATATGGTCTATTCTAGCACATTCACGAATTAAATTTGGATTACTTCTTAGTCAAGAAGTTTATTGAATTCATAAAATACAAACTATTGATGAGTTTAAATGCTATACACCATACGCCGCCGGCAATCCGGACAAGGTTGAATTTTATAATAATTTAATAATAACGCAAAATTTTATTAAGGTACATTGATCCAAAACACTCATGTGTACGTATTATGTTTTGTTTAACAAGTTAATTTACATTAAAATTTTGCCATTCATTTGTGCTAAAAAGTTTTTATTTTTATCGTTACGTATATCAATTTATGTGCTTGTTAATATCGCCCGTCGAAACTACTTTGACGTTTGGAAATTGTTTTTGTCGAAAGTGCGAAAGGTTTCGACTGCATTAATGTTGTGGGCGAAATTAATATGGTGCATACCATCTAAAGTCATCAAACGTTTGTATTTTATAAATGGACAAACTTCTTTACTAAGAAGTAGATACAAAATTTAATCCGTAAATATGATATAACAGGCCTTTTCTGAGCAGATTTACGGATTAAATTTTGTATTTACTTCTTAGTAAAGAAGTATTATAAAATACAAACGCTTGATGACTTACCTATTGCCTACCACCAAATCCGATACTGATTTTATCCAAAGTCATGTATCTATTATCTTATTGTTTTTTGTTTTCATAGATGTAATATACATGTATTTTACAATATCAGCCCTTTTATGGTCGAAAAATGATTTTTTTTATCGACCATATAGTGAAATCTTCCTTCCACAATGCTAGGTATGGTTAATCGGGAATTTTAACATCTAGAATGCAGGACTTACTTTCTATTTCATAGCCTCTCTTTATCGTTCCGAAAAAATGAAGTACTAAGCCATGTAATAGTTTCAAGAAGAGATACTCTAATTCTTCATTCATTGAACCACGTAAGTTTGATTGCATCATGGAGATCCAGTCAATCGATAGTACCCGCTTTTCCTATAAAAACAGCAAGATTAGTATGAAATTGCGAAAATTATTAATCAATGACCAACCCTCTGTATTTATCTTCGGTTAGATTTCTTCCGCTATTATTAATAATGAAAATCAAAATTTCTTTTCCACCGATTAACAGATTATCGAGATCTATCACAAGCACGTTAATACCCTACTACATGCTGGAAAGTTCGAGAATAAATGCCTCTTCCGATAATCATTGAACCCACTTCTTTTCTTACTGCGTATGTGATATCAAGATTTTTCCGAGACCCGCGGTCTCGGAAATTTCAGTCATGTGATTTTATCGAGACCATTTTCTTCGGTTTTTGTCCCGAAAATTTTCATCTTTGTTATATTTATTTGTATTCCTGGATCCGTTTACATTGCCGGATGGATGCAAATAAAAATAAATTACTAACCTAACCCACCTCATTTTTATATAATTTGCGGTAAATATCTACAGCCTAAGAATCGACGTCAGGATTTTTACGATCACGTAAGGTGATTCCGGAGTAATTATGGATCCCGCAAAGAAAAGGCCAGAAAAACATCATTAATACGTAATTCAAAAGATCCATACTCATCCCCTATAACGATTAGTAATGAAAATCGAGATCCCTGAAATATTTCAGCTGAAAGACAAATTCGATTGACGGATTAACGAATTATAACGAATTATTACAAGCACGACCCATAAACTAGTAGCCTAGCTATAGCAAAAAAAGGTGTCAGGTCATGTGATCTGAAATAGGTCCATTAAAATATCCGATTAATATTAGATATCAAGTATTAGGGTTAGAGTTAGATTTGAGATCAAGGTTATATATAAAATTGGCTTTCCGACATTTTTTGATAATGTGTCAAGTTATATTTAGATATTTGTTTTTTGTATTTTTCGTATTTTTGTCTTTTCTCATTTTCTTGTGCCGGATTTGTTTTGCCGGGTTGAGCAAAAATTTGCTACACTCTTATTGGTTGCGCAGAATTTTTGTGCGTTCTTATTGGTTGGATTTGTTTATTATCACGTGATCTGACGCCTTTTTTGCCATGGCTAGGGTACTTCGTGCAATAAAGATATTTATTAAAATTCGCAATAAAAATTACACAAGTCTGTAATACATGATCAAATTAACATAATCTCACAAGCTAACCCATATACTAAACTTATCACCAGGAACTCAAGTCAATTTTCAACGCGTATTGCTTAACATGATTAGTAATCCAATGTGGCAGCAGTTTTGCCTCTTCATCCTCTCCGTTCTCTTCGCTCTCTTCATCCAGCAGATTCATGTGAATATGAATGAGCCTGTGACTGACGTTATGGCGTGATTAATTTCTCCCCAATGTGAGAACAAATTCTCGACATTTGTTTCTTCGAGATGATGGAACATCCCAATCCTCGTTTCATGACCATACCAGCATGGATCGTATTGTTGTTCCCACCATCTTATCAAACTCCTTGTAATGTTATTTTTATGGAGAAAAGAGAATAATTGTCTTAGCATGAACTTGGAGTGGTGGTTGATCTTCTACAATATACCAGACATCTGTATTGTCCAAGTATCCTTTAAAGTCAGAGATATTACCACTACAGAAGGTATGTTGATTGTTGAAGAGAATTGGATATTGGCAAGCTTTGTGGTATACAATAGTTTTATTTTGTTGTGGAAGCAAATAAAGTAGGTAAAATCCGAGAACAGTTTTGTCAATTCCGGGATTACCGGTAATACAACAACGATGTATTTTCTCATTAAAGATAATATTAAAGTCGTAACATTTACGATGTATAGAATGGCACGCTGCTCTTTATTGACCAAGAAATAGACGCCCTCGGATAGCTGAAGGAAATTATTATTAACTTTCGCATTCTCCAAAGATTTCCAAAACTTTCCCAGGTCTTTTTCAGTTTCATCCCATAGATTGATTTTCTTGCGCTTTCCAGGAGACTCTGTACAATAGGAATATTAATAATATGACACAGCGAAGACGAGAATGAAACAACGGCTATCAAAAAGTCAAGTCAGGTCACGTTGACTAATTTTATTACGACTCACTTACCGCCGTTAAGTTTTTAACAAGCTGTGCTATTGATCCAGCTGGTCCGGCAGGAAGTCCATAAGGTTGAGCTATAAGTCTTTCATAAGTCAAGTCCAGGAAGGAATCACCAGTGGTCTCTTGGTTACCGAGGATTATTATGTGTCATTTGATTTTGTAAAAATTGATGAGTTTCCTTATCCCATCCTCTTATTTCATCGGCAGAAGACATATTTTATTTGTTCATTTTTAGTGTAAGGAATAGTAGTACAAATACACAGATCGAAAAAATTTTCGAGTACGTACATGTATATGTTGTGCCCCAAGCCATAACTCATCTCCCAGCATTAACGTTAACCAAAACCCCAACTCTAGTAATACCCCATCTTAATTTGGGCTGAGCGTGATCTGAGGCACAACATATATAAAAGAATTCGATTGTCACGCAAACCTGTCAGACGTTAAAGAAGCTGATAAACTGGTTGATATTTCAAAATTTTTAATTTACTTATAATATGTTATAAAATAATAGTAAATCTGGTTACTAATTACCTAGACAGTGTCGTTATATCCAGAGGTATGTGTACTTAATTTTGATTCCTTGATTTTGTAGCATTTGACGCAATAAAACTCGAAAAAATAAAACTAGCTTTTGCTAGATCTATCTTCCGATTCTGTCTGAATTCTCACTTCTCAATTTATACGCAATTCTTGTCTGCCATTAAATCGACACTCAAGATGATAGGTACGAACAGTGAAATGCCTATATCTAAATTTTCGTGTTTATTCTTACATATTGGGCATTTTGCCGATTTATCGATTTCATTCTACAATTATTCAGAAATTTAAGAGCATATTACGAACTTGAATTTATTGCTTGAATTATTACATGTAAGATAGTATCTATTTTTTATTTCATTCGCCAGATCTTACATGATCCCAATGTTCTATATCGCAAACTATACATGGTTCTTCTTCAACAAATCGATAATTATCATATCCTTTAAAATTATGTGAAACGTTCTGTTACAGATTTGATAATTAATTCTTGACTTGGTTTGCTTTCACCGACAATAGGCTTGGAATCCGTGCTTACCTCAAGTTCTGAATAATCTTTAAAGCCAAAAGAGGGGCCAGAGGCTTGTGGTATGAGTGATATACTACTTACCTGGGTTTTCGATAGAACTTTCTCTTTGGGCTGAGTTGTGGATGATACAGTTACCTTAGTTTCTAATATTTTTTTTGAGTTGGAGGAATTGGGCTTTGGATTGACATTCTCTTCTATAGCATATTTTAACTTTGCATTATCACCCAAGAGCTCAGCATTTTCGTTCATGAACGAAGCATTCAGTCCTAAGTTCAGAAACTTGTTGTTTCAACAAATCTAATTTGGATTGCATGTTTTAAGTTAGCTGTTTATATAAAATGTCACTGGTCGAACAGGGTAGGTTTCATCTGTGGTCTAAAGTACAGGTAAATTAAATTTTAATCAATTCTCAAATTTTAATTGATTCTACAAAATTAATCGATTCTCAGAATCGATTCCTATCCCTATGTCAAAACTATGGTGAATTATTAGGTTACATTTGTTATGATTAGGTTTGTTTTTGTTATATTGCAATCTGAAGTCGATAAGAGTACTAGTCTTAGTAGTCTTTACACGATCGATAGTATACGTCTAAGTCAACTCTGTATCCAAAATTGTATGCTAAGCATTTTTTTCTTAATCACTCAGCCTGTGTTTGCTTAATAAAAACTCGAGTTATTGACGATTTATCAGTTTTGTTTTTTTCAGCACAAAAAAATTTGGATAGCGATCTAAAAATGATTGGTTAAGTATTGTTAAAAGATATTATTTATCAATGTCATGAAAGTTGCTGGAGCATTTGTTAATCCAAAGGGTAGAATCAAGAATTCAAAGTGTCCATATCTTGTTCTAAATGTTGTTTTATGAATGTCTTCATTTGCAATACGAATTTGGTAATATTCAGAATATAAATCAAGCTTTGTAAAGTATTTTGATCCAACTAATCTATCCATGAGTTCATCTACATGAGGTAATGATATCTATTCTTGATAGTAATTTTGTTGAAAGCTCTATAGTCAACACATAATCTCAAAGTTCCTTCTTTCTTATGAACAAATAAAACTGGTGCTCCAAATGGTGATA